TTTCTTTTTAAAATTAAAAAAGAAAAAATATACATATATATAAAAGATAGCTGAGATATGTGTGTTGCTGATGCCTACTTGTTTACTGAAAGGAACAGTTAATGCTTAAATATTTTATTCTCTTGACCAATTTTGCATGCTTATATCTGGTAATGGGAACAACTAATTCGAAGACAACAATATGCAATATAACAACCATTGCTGAATTCCTACCATCTTGTTTAATGAAGCTCTGTATCATTCCTAGTTTTTTTATTACTTGTTATTGCCTTTAATGGTTTGATCAATCTTGCATTCTTACATCTGGCAATCTGAGCAACTTCATTGAAGATAACAATAAGTAATGTAACAACCGCTGTTAATTCCTATCATCTTGTTTTGAAATCCTGTATTGTTTACTGTTTTTGTATTATTTTGGTTTTTTCTTCATTATTGTTGTTATTGTTTTTGCTCTTTAAAATTACAAAAAGTACCTTAGATCAGTAGTTCCCCAGCTTCTTTGTTACATTCTCCATACCAATCCTTGAGGAGGGGATCAGGAGTCCCCTGAGGGTTTATCTCAGCTGAAAGACAAGCCTCTCCTCACTGCTATTCCACCTCTGGGTTCTCACACTGGGGTCCACTCCATTTCTTCCTCCAGAAGTGTCCAGCTGCAGTCTCCCCAGCCTTCTCTCAGCAGGTCTTCCGTCTCCAGGGCCTTAGAATCTATCTCCTAAATTGAGACTATTGATTCTTCCTATCTCCCACAAGATAGTGCCATCCTTAAGGGTAGAGACTACCATCTTTTCAAGATTTATGCACATCCTGGAATGCAGAGGCACTCAAGATTTATTGATAAAGCCAGACATGGTAGTCTGTAATCCCGGCACTCTGGGAGACTGAGGCAGGAGAATCACAAATTCAAGCCCAGCCTGGGTGACTTAGCCATTTAACAAGTCTCTGTCTCAGAATAAAAAATAAAAGGCCTGGGGATGTAGGTCAGTGTTGATCAAAGAGAGAAATAGAGTGAGAAAGAAGGAAAAGGAGAGAAGGAACATTTTCTACTTTTACCATGGGGGGCCAATTTGTTTTATTTCAGTGTAGGTCGATTTTTATTTTTTAGTTTTACTTTTATTTTTATTTTATTTCTTTATGTTCTGCTGTTCTCGACCATCACTTTTCTTTTTCACTACAGAGGCACTGGCAGTCTCGCTGAGGTCTGTCTACTAAGCCAGTCTCTACAATAATGGTAGCCAGTTACTAAGCTTGTGCAAAATATTATGTGTACCCCGTCATTCGTTCTCAACTCAACCCGGTCCTCAGCCTTCAGTCCTGTCCCGTAGGTATTCTCCCCACTTTGTAGACAGAAAATATGAGGATGGTGAAGAAGGCAACTGAGATTTGACCCAGGGGTTATCTGATACCACAGTCTCTGCTCACACACCCTGCACTCGGATACCCTTCACTTCACTCCACTACCCACGTCTCACCTGCCTGACATCTGCCTGGGCTCTCTGTCCTGTGCTTTCCTCTCACACTTAGCATCCATACAAAGGAAGCCCAAGATATGTGTTGGATTCTTCTATTTACCAATGGGCAGAATAATGCAATGGTACCCTTCAAATTTACCTCCAAAGAAAGTAATGAGTTTTTAAAGCATGCTTTTACTGTTTACTTCCTATATCATGAATCCACACATTTTTATGCATTCCTCCAGCTTGCGTGTACTGCGGTCATTACTGATTGACTGATTGATGGGCGTTCATGTTTGTCCATCTTTGGCCATCCTTTTCATGGACCACTGAGTCCTTTTGAAAGGACCTAGGATTGTGAGTGGCTTCCTTGCTTTCAGGCTGAACAAGACACCTCAAGCTCACCTTGTACATAGCCCTCCCCAAACTAGAATCAAAGGAGCCCTGATCCCTTTAGCAAGAAAAGATTTGTAGAACACAGGGGTAGGAATAGCCATGGTTACTAGGTTGATCTTCCTTCTAGGTCTTTTCTATGGATAGAGGTGTAAAATAACTAATTTTCAAACAAGATAATAAATCATTAATTCTCACTGATATCTTCAATTCTTTTATATTTTTACTTTTAAGTAAGATTTTTACTTTAATCTTCAGGACTAACATTATTACTTATCTAAGTGATTTTATTTATTGTATCATAACATGGACAGAAGCGTCAAAGTCACAATACTAGTATTTATTTGCATTTTTTACATTTTTACTAGTCCTTATTTGTAGCACACAGGGTTTACACTCCTTGCAGGGAATCGTTCCATGTACAGACATCTTAACTCCTTTAATAACAGAGTTATTACTAACAACAACATTACTGAACATGGTTTAAGATTTCATGCACTTTCTTTGTACTCAGCATATGCCACCAGAGAATATAAAATCAAAATACTTGGTATAGGGTCATTTGAAGTAAATTCATGACTGTGATTTGTTACTAACATAGTAGGTAGTTCAGTTCATTGATTTCTGCTTTATAGGTATTTTTAGAGATCATTTTGTTTTATTCTTTCTTTTGATTTACTTTTTAAAAAAAATATATTTTCCAACATTACAACTGCAAAACAAGGTATATTCAAAGAAGTCTAGAGTTCTTTTTTCCTTACTCCTAGTCTCTATTTTTTTTTGTCTTTTTGAGACAGGGTCTTGCTATGCAGTTCAGGTTGTCTTTGAGCTCACTTTGTAGCCCAGGCTGGTCTCAAACTCACAATGATCCTCCTGCCTCAGCCTCCTGAGTGCTGAGATTACAGGCATGCACCACCACACCTGGACTTATTCTCTATCTTGTAACAGCTATAAATTTTTAAGTTAGTGTTTGCTTTATTCTTCTGTTGTTCCTGTGTGAAAACATTAGCAAACATGCGTATTTAAACATACGTCTAAGACAATGCATACATTCGCCTGTATTTTTGGACAAATTCCCCATATCCATAAATGGAAATTAGATAAGAGAGACAAAAAACTGCTGTGTTCAAACTGACTTCACAGACAGCAAAGTGTTCCCACTGTCATCGCAGGCCATGAGGTCCCGTGGGGTGGAGGGGGCTCAAGTGGGGAGGCCGAGTGAGGAGACCCTCCGGGCTATCATCACCGCTCCAGCTGCAGCAGCCCCAATTCTGTTCTGCTTCTTTGACCAGATCAAATTGGGTCTGACAAGTGGTTTTTGTTACTAAAAGAAAAAATATGGAGAGAATATGACCACAAGTCAATTATCAACCCAAACCTGCTGCTGGGAGGGGCAGCGGGGAGACCACATGCTTCCCGTTGACTTCACGATGGCAACAGAGTCTTGCTGTCTGCGATTGCCTAGGCCTGAGTCCCAAGAAAACCCTCTAAAGGAGAAGAGGAGCGCCTCATCCATTCATCCTCATCCAGGGGAGGACGTGAGAAATGATTTTGGCCATACCTTCATCTAAGGGATTCCCTTATGCACATTTACAAACTGTCTTTAGCTCTGATTAAGGGGGACAAGAAAATGCAAAGGAAATTGGAGAGGCTTCTAGAGATCAAAGGAAACTTGTTTTGCTGTAGTGTATAAAATTAAAAGTGCCTCCTAGGGATGTGCTAAAAATTACCTCAAGAGTTGGCAGCCCAGATGGAAGATAGATGAGGACGAGTTTTTTGCTCTTTGCTATATTCTACTTTTACCACGTGCACAACCACTCTTGCTCATGGAAGCGGGCAGGGAGCTTACACAAACCACATACACACACAGGTGTCCACCACATCCATTCCAGGCCTCTCAGAATTTCCTGTCAATATTGCCCTAGTTCATGGCACAGTTCTTGGTTCACAGTAGGTGCTCAGCAGAGTCTTTCAGAATGGATGAATGAATGAAATTAAGTATTGTATCCTAATGAACCAAAAGGATAGGAGTGTTGGTTCGTCTCTGTAAAAAGCTGTCAGCCTCTAGAGCTGTGGCAGAAGTGGTATCAAAGTAGCATTTTGTACAGTTTGTGATTTCTCAATGTGTCCCATGAATGTGTGTCCCATGATGCTTTGAATGTGATATGTAGCTAGGGGACTGGCACAGCTGTAAGAAAGCCCTTTATGAGGTCATCATTCCACACATACCAGACTCCCCAGATGGAGAGACGTAAAACACTTGAGGAGCCATGCCTCACGTTGCAGTCCCTCTTTTAAAAAATATCATCATCAGAAGTCAGTTTGACAGCATCAGGAGGAAGCAATGCCTCCAGTATCTGAAGACCCTGAAGTCACTGCGATATGATGGATTTCAGACTGTATACTTTGGGGAAACTAATATCTCAGAAAGTCTCGTCACTGGGGAAGATTTGGGTAGTGACTATTGCCTGCAAACTCCAACTTGGTGTATTGTGCATGCTGGCGGCAGTCAAGGATGGGTGCCTTGGAAATACCGGATGTTCCTGAAAGATGAGCTGTGTATCAAGCAAGAAGACAAGCTCTTCTCTGAGTTCTGTGATATAGTGAAGAAGGCTTATGGGAAATGTGCCATCGTGGTCAAAGGGAGAAGGCAGCAGAATGAGATGAGACCCAAGGAAGACAGAGACGCTGAGGCCCAGTCGTATGTCCCAGCCGTCATTAACTTAACAAGCATCGTGTGTTGCCCCGAGGTGGCCAAACTCTATGGCCATGAGCTCCTCTTTCTGCCTTCCCCTTACAATTACCTGAATCCTTTAGATTCTGCTTGGTCCTCCCTGAAATGGTTTATCATCAATAACAGGAGAGAATTTTGTTTGCATTCCATTGACAATGTCTATTCCTACCAGTATATATTTTTCAGTGATTTAATTAGCAAAGGGATTGACAGGATAAACTTAAGCAAATGGAAAACAATAGTTAAAAAAGTACAGAGATGGGAAAATTATTATCTTGGGAGATTTTCTTAAGAGCAAGTCCTCCAACAAACAGTGAAACTCTGGATACGTATGACCTTTACCAAAAACTTTGTTAAGATTCCATCACTGCCACCAAAGACAGTGATCTCACAGGGATCCTGTGTGGACTGAGAGGTTCCGAAGGATGTTGATAAAGCGCTGAGTTTACTGGAAGTTTCATTAAAACTTGTTGGTAAATTAGGGATCTCGACTGTCATCTTGTTAAATCTACTTTGAGAGCCAAAGCAGTGGGAGGTTTGGTGCCTTGTACAAAGTAGGATGGTTGTGGGTTAGGTAAGTAGGGTTAAAGACTGTGTGGTAAAAATTTAAGTTTGGGGAAAAAGGATAACAAAGTGTGTGGTTGCAAAACAGGCAAAATTAAATAATATGTCAGTTAGTTTCAGCCCAACAAAATAATCCACCAGGAGGCAGTTTGCCATTGTCCAGATGGTGGAAAAGAAAGATACTTCTTATTGTTCTTTCTTCCTCACAAGCAAAGTGCTGGAGGGTGAACAAGAGGCATCCGAGGAAGGGTAACTCCATTAAGGCAGGTTAGTGGTCCCAACAAGGGAGCTGGGGAGACATGGCTGTGACGGTTCCAGTGGGACTTGGGTGAATAGGTGGCATGAATGGGGGTCTGTGTCCCACTTTTCCAACTCTAAAAATCCCAACAGGAGGCCATTAGTCTGTCATGGAGCTTCCTCCCAGGCCCCTGCAGCTGAGCTGCCTGCAGCTGGTACAACACCACCCTCTTCTGGTTTAGGGTACCTGCTGATGGGGGTTATAAGGGTTTGTGGTTATATTTTTCACATCTGTAGATAAAAGCTTGACCTATGATAAAAATTCACTCTCACCCTTGTTCAGGCAGTAATTTTCCAGTTGTAGCAATTGTCCTGAAATCTATAAAAATAACACGTGATAATGAGGAGGGCTGTGGAACAGGGGGTATATGGGAACTCTGTACTTTTTGTTCAATTTTTTTTGACCCTAAAAATAGTTAAAACCTAAAGTCTACTTTAAATGTAAGTGCCAGTCCATTTTAATTGTTGACTTGACAGTTGGAGAGGTGAGTAGACCATGCTCTGCTCGTCAGGAGCAGATGTTCATAGCTGAAACAAAGTTAGGTGGTGCGGTCCAGTTGGAGGTGGGTCACTGCGCCTGTGTTTTCAGAAGATACATCTTTTGCTGGTGCTCTTCCTACAGCTTCCTGGCTGCCCTGCAGGGAGCAGCTATGCTCTTCCATGCCCTGCCGCCATGATGCTCCTGTCTTAGAGCCGGCTCAACCCTCTGAATCTCTCAAGCCAAACTAAACTTCTCCTTTCAGTGGTGGGTATTGGGTATTTTGCATCAGCAATGGGAAAACTGACTAATACAATTTAGGAAGATTTCTCCCCAACTTCCAACAGGCTAAACTACATATAAGATATTTGAGGCTGGGTTCCAGATAGTGAAATGCAGAAAACATTGTATTCTTTGCTTGTCTTCTTTCCCTCCTATGTTTCCCTGTATTTTTCAGAAAGACTTTGTAAGCTGAAAATAGATGTTAAATGCTTTTCAGCAACTAAGTGGTAGATTTCTGCAGCTTTTTTTCAGGTTAAAAAAGGAATCCAAGTATGTATTTCATCTGGGAATGGATCACATTGAAGACAGCCAACCACTCAGAAGTACCAAGTTTCCATTTTTGCAGAGCCTGCTTTACAGCCAACTGTGCTGTACCAGTCTCCTATGGCTATTATAACAAAGTACCATAAACTTGGTGGCTGAAAACAACAGAAATTTATTTTCCCTATGTTCTGGTGTCCAGAAATCAGAATTCCAATGAGCCAAAATTGAGGTGTTGCCAGGCTTTGCCTCCTCCAGAGGCTCCAGGGAAGAATCTGTTCCTTGCCTTTGGTGACTGCCTGCATTCCTTGGCTTGTGGCCCCACCACTGTCTCTCCTTCTGTATTGAATCTCTCTCTATTTTCCTCTTACAAGGCCACTAATAATTGTATTCAGGGCTCACCTGGAGAATCCAGAATCATCTTCAAATGTCAGTGTGCTTATCTTGATAATCTATGCAAAGACTCCTTTTCCAATAAGATAACACTCGGGTTCTTGAGACTAGGACTTGCATCACTTTAGGGACCATTATTCAACCAACCACAGCTGCTGAAAAAAATCTGCCTCTTGAAATAGTGTTTCTCCCATTGGCAATTAACTTGTTGAAAAAACCCTTATCGTACAGTATATTTTGTGTGATCTTTTTCTATCTTTCATGTGTATTTTAGGATTTAAGTTCCTTGAGATCAAGTAATAGTATTGTTATGATTTGGATTAAAAATATTCCCAAAAGGCTTATATATTCAGAAGTGGGGCTTTTAGAAGGTGATTAGATCATGCGGAACTAAGCTCATCAACTAATACATTGTGAACTTCATAGCTGAGTGTGCTGCTAGGAGGAGAGAAAGGTGTTCCTAGCATAGTCATTCTCTCTCTCTCTCCCTCTCTCTCTCTCTCTCTCTCTCTCTCTCTCTCTCCATCCCCCTCCCTCTGTATCTTCTTTTCCTTCCTTCTCAGCTGTCACAAAGTGAGTAACTTTGCTCCACACACCATTCTGCCATGGTATTTGTCCTTAGAGCCAGTCAACCATGGACTGAAGTCTCTTATATCATGAGCCAAATAAACCTTTCATTATTTCAGTTGTATGTGTCAGGTATTCTTCACATCAACAGACCTCTGACTCAGTATGTAAACCTTCTTGGTCACTTCAGTGTGCTATCGCTGTAAGATCCAAGTATAAATGGCCTGAGTTTGGGGACATAAGTGGAGTTTGCTCCTACTTCACACGTATTGCACACCTATACAAGTTATGGGATAATAAACACAAACAGCTATACATGGAGTCAGTAAGGCATGGTGTGAGGGCTTCCTGCTAGGACGCCTTGAAGTCTGATCCTGACACTCCTATTAGTTCTTGTGTAGGTGTCTCTAAGTATACCAGCTACTCGTTGAACTAAATGAGTTAACCTGTTTAATCCTCACAACAGAGTAGAATGTAGAAATTACTATTACCTACATTTTATAAATGAAGAAACCCAAGGCCTAGAGAGACTATGTAACTTGCTGCTGTGCAGACAGCTAAGATTCTAAGCCAGAGTTCATGGTCAGCCATTGTCAAGCCACCTCTCTACCAATGAGCAGCTCATTTAATCCTGAAAACCCTAAGCAGGTGCCATCATTTTCCCCATTGTACAGATGAGGAAGCAGACATGGGAAGTCACCAGAGCTGTTGGATCCTACAGCCCTTGCTCCCAGCCACCATGCTTAGCTTGGTTATCAAAGTCTAGCTTTCCCGTATTTATATGACATAAATCAAACCACACAGCAGCTGTCAAAATGGTCATCTACATCTGGACATCACAACAAAAAAGTATTTCAGTGCAAAACTGAGGGCGAAGCAGAATAACCTTTTAAAGTTGTGTTATTTTTCAGTAAGAAAAATAATTGAACGATTTTAGGTTATCAGACGAACAAGATAAACCAAACAGGAGCTATTTTTGTTTGAAAACCAAGACAATTTAATAAAATGAGTTGAGATATCTATTCCTTTGAGGCCTTGTTTCATCATTAAGAAAGCAAGCGGAGGAAAGAGAACATCAATATATCCAGAGAGATCAAAAGGTCTACCTTTAATGTGCAGTTTAGTTACATAAGATTGGATTCATAATTAAGGTATTGCTTTATTCCAAGCCTGGAAACTTCCAACAGAAAGTAAAAGAAATTACACTGAGCTTTGGGAATCCAGTGAACCTAGTTGGGATCTCAAGTTTGCAGTTTACTACCTGTGAGACTTTGGGTAAGTTGCTTTACTTCCGTAAGTCCAATTAACTTAGTAAAATACAGATGTCATAGATGGCAAGCCATTACATTGTGTTTTGCACCTACTAAGTGCCCCCAAAACCGAAGCTCGATTATCAGAGCCCAGGCTGAGGTCAAACCAAATGTGTTTACAATTAGACTTAATGTCACTGACCTCGTTTCCTTTTTACCCTTTGAGGAAAGTCTCTGCTGCTTTGTATCACCGAGATGCAAGAGGAGGCACATCTTAAGACACTGTGATCAAAGGAAACTGTTCTCTGGCATTTCTTTTAAGATCATCTGCAGTAGGTTAGGGAATAATAAAAGGATTCTTCTGGTGGGAACAGGACAGGGATCCCAGAATCTCTTTGGGAAGAGCCACGTTCATGCCCTGCGTGAAATTAACATGGGTGCCAACCCACAGCGAAGCGGGTGAGCCACACATCTGCAGACAGGACGGCACAGAGTTCCTGAGATCAGTGGCTCATGAATATCCCATCCTCAGTGGCCTGCGCCACCACCAACCACATCCCCACTCACTTCAATGGACCAGGGTGACTCCAAAGGAGGTGCATATTAGAAAATGGTGCTGTCCCTGGAACAAGGGAAATAAAAGTAAATGAGCAAATGGGAAGGATGAGCCCTGCATGGCCAACCAGGGGCTGAGTGGCCCACCCAGGGGGTATACACTCCTTCCATGTGCGATTATTTTGCAGTCTTCTGTGGACTTGACCACCACTGCAGCTACAGAACGTGCAGCAATGATTATCAAGCTCATCCTACAAAGTCAAGGCTGGGACAGTAACTGATTCACGTAGATATACACAACCAGTAACAGGAGGGTGAGGACCAGAATCCAAGTCTTCTTGTGCCAGCAAAAATGAGTATAATGAGTAGTCCACAGATGTGTCAACGAAATACAAGGCACCCCATTCCCACCACCAAGGTGGCAGTTCAAAAGTGAGGTGATAAGCCTTATGGTCACCAAGAGTCTTAACTCCATGATCGGTCACTCACTGAGACGTGAGAGGTCCGGGTGGCCAGGGCTGAGTCCAGGTCCTGCTGCTGTGGAGCGGTCATGGGCAGAGTTACTGGAAGCGAAGGTGAGATATTATACCGGCAAACTTCAAGGCCCAGGCACCTGGAGCGTTTTAGGAAAGAGTTGTTGAAACAGCTTTGGTTCCTTATATGTAAGAATTTCAAGATAGCTTGGGGAGAGGTAATTAACCACTTTTAAAGAACCCCAGAGTATTTGGTTTCTGAAATACATTATGTACATCTCTGCCTTTTAAAGCAGAATTTATGAAACACTTTAACCTCTGCTTCCTACAGGCACCAGTATGGACATAATATCACCAAGTGGGTGGTGTCCCAGTAGGGGGCTGTTGGCCACCACACCATGACATATGGATGTGAGTTCTCAGGGCTGGCCGGCTTGTGTCTCTTGCCCAAAGTTACCTCCGCTGCCAACATCTTCCTCTCTGCAACTAATGTATTGCAAGCTTGAAAATTAAAGAGATGTGTTAGCAATGTGTGAGGAGATCAAGTAGGATCTGCAGGAGGGATCCTGGTGACCTCCTCTGGGCAGTGAGCAGGGATTTTAGCTTAGGCTCTTTGTGACAGTTTCATCTACCCAGGGACAGTCATGTCTTTCTTATGTGTTTTCAATTATGGTCTTGAGAGCTGCTGGCTAGATGTGGTCTAGATGGGGCTCCTCGCTGTTGGTTTTAAGCTCTCTACCTACATGCAGTACCTACTTCCAAGTAGTACCAAGTATTTAAAACCGACGTCGATTACCTGCGCAGTGTTATGAGAAGTGTCTCCAATTAGTGATCAGTCATCTCCCCCTAGTGGTACAAGGATGTATAGAAAAGGTAACTGAAAATCCCAAACCCTGTTTATAGAAAAGCCATGGGTGTGGTTAGTGTTTTAGTTCAACGCTTGGATCATCTACTACTAATTTGTCCAAGATGGCCAGATGTTCCAGCAATTCTAAAGTTGAGTTTTAAGTCCCAAAGCCTAGAAAATCACCAGTGTTTAAAATAAGCACAAATATTCCCTGGTCAGACTTTCATTCTGCCAAAAACCAACAGACTCTCTCAGATTTCGGAGGCACATGGGTGGGTACATATGGGAGGAAATGGTGCCCAGGGGTCTGGAGCAGAAACCAGGTACTCTGGAGTGGTCAGTGCCCTCGCCCGGAAGAGTGGGTAGCAAGCCAAGCCCTGGAGCAGCCGCGGTGGGAACACCTGGCAGGCTGCAGGGGGGCCCTGACTGGCGTGAGGCAGGCTCAGCAAGGGTCAGTTCTAGGCACCCCCTGCACATGCCATGGCGTCATCCGTTCACCATCCAGCAGCTCCCAGGCCTCAGCAGGGCTACTCAGAATGCAGTGACCTGGGCTCCGGAGCAAAGGCTGGAGCAGCCTCTGCAGGGGACCGGGGTATGAGCTTACGGGAATGTCCCCTTGCGGTTACCCTGACATTCACAGCTTTTAGGTTCCGGATCCAATCCACACTTACAACTCTGATCCTATGTGAATTTTTTCCTGCTCTCTAAATGCTGATTACTATAGTTCAGGGAACTTGAAAAAAGGTAACACAATTCCCTTTGCTCATGTTCTCCCCAACTGGGTGGGACAGACACCCGTTAACATACACTCACACAACTTTCCGGGTGGCTATCGGCAAAGGGCCCCAGCAACTCACAGCTCTGGTTCCTACGTCCTTACTCCTCCTCTGCTGTGGTAGCTTGAGAACCTAAACCTTTTACTTTTGGTTTTTGAGACACAGTCTTGCTATGTAGTCCAGGGTGGCCTTGAACTAATAGCAGTCCTCCTGCCTCAGCCTCCTGGTACGGGGATTACAAAAGTGGGCCATGTGCCTGGCTACCAAACTTTCTCTACTAGGTGCTGAGTAAAAACCTCACCATTCTTCTTCTCTAAAGTCTTCTCTTTCATTCAACTAGTAAGAGGGTGGAGGACACCCTAGGGCTCATGTTCAGTAAGCAGAGGCGGCAGGAAGTAAATTCTTCCAGCTCAGTAGCCATGAGGGCAGAGACTTCTTACCCTGCAATTCTTCTCGGTGATTCCCCCACAGGCGGCTTCCACAGCTCCCTCCATCCCCACACTGAAAACACACCCGTGATGAAAGCAAACTGCACCGGCAGGGGTGTGCAGGAGGACAGCAGGGGGTGACAGCGAGCTGGCCCAGGACTCCGCTGCCAGGATCCCCTCCCCCAGCAGCAGGGGTGACAGTGGCTGGGCCCTTGGACCTGTGACCCACTGCTAGGAAGTGCTGTTTGTATAAGAGAAACAGCCAGCCCAACACACAAACACTGTAACTTATTCCAAGGGTCAGAGACAGACTTATTTACAAAGGTATTTATTTTACTAAACAAAATACTGGTTCTTTTAAAAGTATATAAAAATTCACATTAAGTTAAAACTACAGGTTGGGAGTTTATCCTCTGACATATGATTCAGTAATTCTTTCTTCTCAGCTGGAGTCCACCCAGGTTGACATCTAATAGGCAAAATCTAGAAAAAAAACCAAAAGGAATAGCTGGAAAAGTTTGATAAAATAGTAGCAAGCAGGCCGGGTGTGGTGGTATACACCTCTAATCCCAGCACTCGGGAGGCTGAGGCAGGAAGACCGCCACAAGTTCAAGGCCAGCCTGCGTTACATAATGAGTGCAAGCTCAGCCTGAACTACATAGTGAAACCCTGTCTGAAACACACAAACAGACAAATAAACAAATAGTAGCCAATGTCTCATTTGCTGAACATTAACCCTACGTTTGAGTATTAAGACCTAATAAATGGAAATCACTAAAGTTTATCAACTAATGAAAGTATCTTTAGAAGCACAATTTTCATTCCACCTGGGAATCCTTTTTGTGTGAAGCAGGGCTCCGGGGTCCTAGGAGGAAGGTGGACTGCCGTAGTCGGTTCTAAGCTCAGCTATGCAAGAGGCCACCTTACACCACTGGCCCTATCTCTGGACACCTGCAGGAGCGAAGAGGCACTTGTGATTTCACACCCAAGCCTCCCATCTTCTTCTCAGTTTAACTCAACACGATTGCTCTGGCTGGAACATCCATCGATCGCCAGCATTTCAATCACACCTGCCGTCCCTGCCTTATCCATTTCTCGGCGCCTCCTCCTCCCTCAGCCCTGCGCCTACTGCTGAGGTTCAGTCAATGAAACGGTTCCAGAAGGGCCAGGTCCCACGGTAGTAACTGCTTTTGGCTGGCAAAAGACCACGGTTCACTGAGGACCAGCATGTGGCGGCAGGCGCCGGAGGGGCGGGTCACAGAGAGCGCAGGCTCTGTAAGCTCACTTTTGTGCATTGCAGATGACACGGCAGCTCAGGGCTGGGCAGAGACTACATGTGCTGGACGTGGGTGCCATTCTTGGGTCTGCTCTTCGCCACTGCTGTGTGAGTCGTTCTTTTACCAGGACATAGAGCAGACTGAAGGACACAGCAGGGTGGGACGTGCTCAGCAAAATGCCCAGCCCACACCCACCATTCATGAGCCTCCGCACTGTCCAGGACACGCGGGACCTCCGCGTGGGTGGAGTTTGGAGCCGGGCCCGGTGATTCCCACGGGGACCTGCTGCAGAGGGGGTATTTAAGACTCACCCAGGTGGTTTTAAAGGAACAGATGCCCACATCCAACTGTGCACATGTCGGCCTTCCTGGGCCTGGAGCATGGGACGCTGTGCTTTTCAAAAGCACCCTAGGCAATTCTGATCCTTAGCCAGGTTTCAGAACCACGGATCTGGGGCTCCCTGCCCACCGCATCTGAATCCTCTCAATTTTAGAGAAGCAGAGAGTTCACACTGGTAACTGAAGACATGACATGGACACACCAGAATCAAGGCAACGGCGCGCGTGTTCAATGTGTGACGGGGCCTTAGGCATAGCTCCCCGGAGGCCAGAGGCTTGAAGCCCACAGCGTGCTCTGGGCCTTGTGTGCCCAGAGACGGCACTGGCTACAGGGATGCCGGGGAGGGGACGTCGGGAAGGGGCAGCTAGGCCAGGACGCTAACAAGGCTTGAGTCAGCGTGGCTCAGGAACAGCCCGCAGGAGCACAGGAACGCGCAGGAGGCAGCAGGCGAGGTCTGGGTTAAGGACAGATCAGGAGGGGATTTGTTTGGCCTATCAAAGAGACAGACTGCGCCTTAACCTTGGGGCTTGGCACGGCCACCTCCTCCTTGCCCACCCACATCACCAAGTTTCCCCACAGCCTCGGGTGTTTTTAGCAGGGGGGCCCCCTGGGAGGAGGTCGCAGCTGTCATCACCTGCTCCAGGGCCCTGGGACCCAACCTGTGCAGAACCTCTGCCCATCGGAGCAGAGGGGCCAAACTCCGTGCACTGCAGCAGAGCAGCAGGCAGGGCCCTGAGCCCCACCGCGAGCACAGGGGGCCACCTCAGACCCCAGGGCGGGGAGCACCCCACCCCGCCTGCGCTGATCAGCCGGCCCCAACCCACCGGACAGCTCGCGTTCGCAAAGCCTGAGAACCTTCCAGTGCCCTTCAGTTATCTTTCTTCTCTGACTGCTGCTTCTTCTCGGCCTCCAGTTTTTGCTGTTTCACTTCCAGTCTCTTCCTTTGGTACATTTTCACTCCAGCAAATGCCAGGCAGAGAATCAGTGTTTTGGCTGCCAAGATGTACAGCAGCAGGGGCACGTGATCGAGGACCTGAAAGAAAAAAGAAACCACGGGGCGCAGTGTTCCATCAGTGAGACAGCACATGTCTTCGTGGGCCTTCACTCCACAAATATTTACTGAGCACCTATTAGGTCACAAGACAAAGCCAGGTGCTGGGGCCTCACTTGGGGCAAAGCAGACAAGGTCCCTGTCGCATGTCACCCGCATCTCTGTTTATCATCACTCCCCTTGGGTCCTGGCTTTACAGAAAGAAACAGCATCAACCCCAGACATAATAACTTGTCTTTCACAGCTTAATGAGATTTGCCGGCCACGAGCCAAGCTCTCGGCTTCCGGGCAGCGGGGAGGGCCGGTGAGAGGAGCTATACCCAGGAGGCTTCTGCCACTCACTCCTGTGCAGCCTTGTTCCCTGCACAGTGAGGCTGGACCAGACCTCGCTTTTTAGTACACTACCACTTTCTCTTGCTTCCAGAGACTCACTAGCAGTAGCACTGGCGGGTGAAACAAAACACAGTAAAACTCAAAACGTTAACATGTAACCCTTATTAATTGTCCCTGTAATTTCCTGTTGGAGGAAAAATTTTAACCCACTGTCTAAAAGGAAGTCTGTGGAATAACCGTTTTTTTGTCTTTTTGAGACAAGGTCTCCCTATGCAGTTCAGGCTGGCCTTGAGCTCACTTTGTAGCCCAGGTTGGCCTTGAACTCACAATGATCTTCCTGCCTCAGCCTCCCAAGTGCTGGGATTATAGCATGCATTCCCCATGCTATTGGCTGGGGATATTGGCTGAATAACAGTTTCTATACTAGTCAGTTTTATTATGCACTTCTATATATCACAATAGTATCTCAAAGCAAATACTTTACTGGTTTCATACACATGGTTAATATGGCCTGATTGATAATTATGGGCTTTTGTGTGATGAAAAGTCCTCCCCAAATAAAGTGAAAAGATGTGTTTTTATTGAGTAATCATTATTTTAGAGGACCAGGTAGGACAATGAAACCATTAGGTTCAGCTGCCGAGCATCACTTATTATATGTAATACCAATAAAATGAGATTTTTCTACAGGGAGAACATTGGGACCTTGCTCTAACGGTTTGCCTAAGGCCAGTCCGAAACTCGTCAGTGAAGGCATTAGCTGACACAAATGCTCACACACCTGGAGGGCTGAAAGAGACCTGGATACTCTATTCTACCATCTCACTGTTCTTCCTCCTCATGCTACCGGGGATTGAATCTGGAGCATTCACACTGCGTTACATCCCTACTCCTTTTTCATTTTTATTTTGAGACAGGGTCACCCTAAGTCACCAAGCTGCCCAGGGTGGGCTCAAACTTGCAATCCTCCTGCCTCAGCCTCCCAGAGGGCTGGATTACAGGCATGTGTCTCCATACCCAGCTCTACCTCATTTCTCAAACAAGAAAAATAAGGCTCCTGGAGGTTGAGAGGCCCACCCATGTCAGAGGGCTCATTCGTGAGGCGGTCAGAGTTGCAGTGGGACAATCCAGCCTTCAGCAGGCTCCTTCCCACTGATTTCGGATTTTCAGTGAATTGGAGGTAACAGGACCCACTCTATCAAAACAAGATGTTCTTCCTATACTCTTATCTAAATTCATTATGATTCAGACCTAGAAGTGGATTTCACGTATGAGAGACAGCACCAGAACTGCCAGGTACTGGGAACTTCCTGTGCTCTAGGAATCCCAGGCGGCTCTTTTTCCCTTGCGTACCTACTGCGGTCCGAATGAGGCAGACACACAAAGTGGGGGAAGGCCAGTAATCGGTGAGGAAGGTCCGACCAGCTCCGACTGCACCAGAGCCTGATTCTTCATAACGGCACTCCCCAGTAACACAGATCATGCCCTTCCTCCCCTGTCCTTTTAACAATTATGTAAATCAGCAATGGCTTGGCTCCTGAATTTACCAAAGGCAGCTGAACTTGGTACCTCTGAAATTTATGAAATAGTAAGGATATAATGAATATAATGGGGCAGGGAGACCCCAAATATTCACACTGTTTCAATTTAACTAAAATAGTAGGAACATTTAGTAGCTGGGGAAGTTTTCAATCACTAAATCATTGCACCAGTAAAGAATAAACACAACGTATGGACTTAAACTGATCACTGACAACAGTATAAAAGTACAAACGTTAGAGAAGTAAGGCTTCTGTAAACATAACAGCTTAGCCTGCTGGTTTGGCTGCCAGATTCCCTGTTCCCCGGTCCTGTGGCCAACCTCCCCCGCCCAGCAGGCCTCTTTCCTTCTGATTTCTTGAAGGTTCCTATTACAGAGGCGAGGGTCTGGCTCCAGGTATACAAACCAGGAAGAGGAGAATGTGTGATGTTGTCACATAACCCGTCTGTGTTTACTGGGTGCTCTAGGCCAGCTGAAGCACCGTCTCCTCTCTTTCAGGTTTCCACATCTCTGCAGATGAGTCGCGGAGGACCTAGCAGGACAACCCACGGCTCTCGGTGACCTACATCTAAGACTTAGCTGTAGCAGCTGCAAGAACAAACTGTCCCAAGCAGAAGTCAGAAAGCCCATCAAAAGGATATGTGTCACCTAAGGTACACAGGCAAGTGGTTTCGATATTTACTTCCTTTTATAAGATATTTACTTCTCCGGAGAGGAAGGTGAGAGGCAGAAGTTTCAAGACTGAGCGAAAGGCCGCAAAGGTCAAGAATACTCAAGGGCTAGGCTGAGAGCTCTGGGCCCCTTCCCTGTCCTCTGCCAGAGTCCTGAGCTGCAGCTGCGTCCACCTCCTCTTCTGACTTCTTCTACCAAAGCCCTTTCATCTCTCAAAACATGCAGACCTTCAGGCAGGAAAATGACTCTCAGTGGTACGGGCCAGATCAACGCTCATTTTAACAAACGAAATCCTAATACCTGTGAAATGGGAACGGCTAACTTTTTAAATAATGAGGTCACATCTGCTGCTATCACGCGAGCAGTGCCGACTGTTACTGCCAGCCAAGGAGTCCGCTCTGAGTTTCAAATGGTTCTTCCGGGGCTGGGGAGTCTGGGATACAGCACGGTTGGGTTCTGCAGAGGGCCCCTTCTAGGCTGCAGACTCCTATATTCTCACACCGCAGAACAAGGGTGGAAGGGAAGTTCTGTGAGGTCTCCTATATGACAGCACTAATCCCATTCCTGAGGGCTTTGTCCTCTGATGTAATCAGCTCCACCAGGATCCACCTCCAAATACCACCACACTGGGGTAAGGGTTGTAACCTATACATTTAGGGGAACACAAACATCCGCTCATTACACTGCTTTAAAGAAACCAAAATGTGAAACTTCAAAGGTATGTGTTTTGCAAGAAAAGAGTCCAATCTGAAGTTGGTGGATGCATACTCAAAGAAAGGCCTGGCCTTCCTCCCCAAGTCTGGGGAATAAATATACTTTAATGTGTTTTAACTTCAAAAATGAAACAAAATACACTACACTTTCATCTTTTTCTTTGTTAATTAATCTGCTTCGACAGACCTGCTAGTCTTCATTTTTACAACTAGGAGTGCTGTAGTTTGCAAGCTGAATGTCCCCTAAAGGTCCCATGTGTTATAGGGTTGGCCCTCAGGGCGGCACTCTCGGCAGATGCTGCAGACCTTGAAGACATGGGGCCTAGTAGGAAGTTCGGGTCCCAGGGTGCGGGGAGCTTGAAGGGGATTGTGGGACCCTAGTCTGTCCACTTCCACTTCTTTGCTCCACCATATGCTCCCTGTACTGTCACTGGCCACCACCCCTACCGGACCAAAGCAACGCCTGCACCACCGCAGACCAGAATCTCCAGAACTTTGAGCTTAATAAAACCCTTTTTCTTAAAAGGACACTATCTTAGATATTTCATTACAGTGGCCAAAAGCTGATAAATACAAGGAGAAGAAAAAAAAAAAAATCATCATTGTTTAAAACTTTTCTCACCTTCCAGTTCATGATGCACACACCGTGGGTTCACTAGTGACCAGTGCTGCCCCCCAGGCAGCTGCATGAGAGGGAGCTGGGAGGTCAGGGCCTCGGGAGCTCCAAGGTCTGCTCTAGGGGGAAAGACAAGAAACAAGTCAACTTGGGGTGTCCAGGACAGGCCACCTTAGGAAGATGTGTCTTTGATGAGACAGGCATGGGAGCCAGGAGAGCAGGCTCTGCAGAGAGGCAGGTGACGAGTCTTCAACAAGGTGACCCAGGTCACCGGAAGGGCTGGGTGAGGGCTCTCCCTGAGCAGAAAGTGCTCCTCAGAAGCTCCCTGCAGCCTCCAGCTAAACGATATGTGCTCCCCTCCACTCATCCGTGAACCTAAGAGCCCACACCCAAAAGTCACCATCTCCTGCCCTAAATACGGGCAGGTGTAGGGATGAATGTCTTTTGTTTCTCAGGACCTCTGTTAACTGATCTAATCTTTGCTATTTTAAAAGTTATCTGGAGGGAAGGGAGTAAATGACAGAGGAAAGCTGGGCGTGGTGGCGCACGCCTGTAATCCCAGCACTAGGGAGGCTGAGGCAGGAGGATCGTTGTGAGTTTGAGACCAGCTTGGGCTACACAGTGAGCTCAAGGCCAGCCTGAACTGCACAACGAGACCCTGTCTCAGAAAGACAAAAAAAAAAAAAAAAGATAGAGGAAAAATTATCCTAAGAAAGCAATTCCTATCTAAAATTCCCTCTGAAGAGTGACAGAGACCAAGTGGACGGTAAGGCTGGAAGTGACAGGCAGTGACATAGCCAGAGCATAGGACTTGCTCTGGGGCCTTCTGTGTCTCTACTCTTAGAATATGACGTATATCCCAGGGAGACAGAAAACAAGCTCTGGATGAAAAACCTACACACTGGCAGTGACTCCCGTCTGAGCCCCAAGGGCCATCTGTACCGAAGAAAGGAGGAGCCGAACAGATGAGCTCTAGGGTCCCTGCTTTTTTCTGAAATGTAATGACTTATAGCATAATAATCACTGCTTAACTTTATTGTACCAGGCTCTGCTAACGCACAGTGATCAATGAATTCATTTAGTCTTCATAACAGCCTATGCGATATGATTTATTATCTCTACTTTATAGGTGAGGAAAGCAAGTTTAAATAACGTATCCAGGGTCTCCCAGGTAGGACTGTGACTCGGCTCCATCCCATCTGGCTCCAGAACCTTACGCCGGGTGCTGTCCTAACCCAGGCAGAGAGCTTTGCACAAAACCACGGAGATGCTTGCCTTTTAATGCACTTAACATTAGAATTAAGAAAAGCAGCAGAAATTTTCACAGGCCTTTAGAAGGAGGATAAAATGAACTTCAGGGAAGAACTTTGAATTACAAAAGCATCTCAATATCAAAAGTCCCTACCTCATTTACTCAAGGTTATAGTGTCTTGAAATCCAGTTAACAGTTGGCACAAGATAATCAAGTTTTCCCTGTGACTTCTGCAAAGTCAGATAAGCTAATGACAGGAATTTAAAACACAGCACTGTTTAAATGTGCTGTGATTAAATGGGCTCATTAACTTCACATATAAATGGCCCACTTGCTAAGTAGCAGCAGATTCTGACCTATACTGAAGAAACATATTGAATTGCTATAACCTGCTATATAACCATGCTATAACCTGACCTGCTATAACCTATTGCTAGAACTTTAACTTTGACTAGTCTCTAATAATGGCCATATTGTACATTAAAATGAAATGTTTCTACGGTTTTTTGCATTTTCTTTTTACAATTCCTGCTTTGAGTAGTATAAAAATACAGTAGGTTAGAAAGGTGTTTCCCACAAATTTGGGGGGGGATAAAATAAATACTTTATGAATTGAGGTACATACAGAATATTGATTCCCAAGACCAAGGAAAACAAATAGACCCACACAGCTTTCAAGTGCAAATAAATGAAAAAACAAAAGCTCAAAACAATCCAGGGGCTGTCCCTCTGGCAGAGATATATTACTTTTACTAGCAGTGTGACCTTGGACAAAAAGTTGGCCTGTTTAAGCCTCAACTCCCTTGCCTGTGAATTCTCCTTCACAAGCTGGACTGCAAACACAAGGCACCATTTCCAACACAGAAAGCATTACATCAATGTCAACCGTTACTGTTATGATAAATAGCTCTCCTGCACTAATGCACATGCTAAGTTTACGGACATAAACAGGTAGCACTCAGGGCAAAAGGCAGTGATTGGAGGGTAGAGGGCATGGGATAAAGAACAAAAATGAAGACAAGGAGAAGGGGAGATCTGGACTCTTCTCCTGTTGGCATCGATGGCAAAGTATATGACCTGGGGTGAGTCATTAAAACCTCCGAACCAGGATTCTCATTTGTGAAATAAAAATCCAGAAGGGTCATGGCGGCCCATGCCTGTAATCCGGCACTCTGAGAGGCTGAGGAAGGAAGACTGCAAGTTTGAGCCCAGCCTGGCCAACAGAGCAACTTAGCAAGACTCTGTCTCAAAGTTTAAAAATAAAGTAAGAAAGGGCTGGGGAAGTAGCTCAGTGAAAGGTCCTGAATTCAATCCCCAGGACGTACAACAACAAATCAGAATCCAAAGAATGATTCTGCAACTCTGAATTCATGACTCATCATCCTCTCTGATATCACAGAATTTGACTGCAAAAATATGCTAGGAGCTGCTTCAACTTTACACTTTGAGTGATAAATTCAAGCTTATGTTAAGAAAGAAACAGAAACTCCATCTGCACTTGTAGTGAAAGAGGTGGGACGAGGGTGGAGGAGAAGAGGGCAAGCCATTCTGCTCAGTCCAGGTCACAACTGGAATCACAACTTCTCCCCACTTCCCCTAAATTACATGCCCAAGTCGCCATTTTCATAGCACACTTCCGGCCTGCCGGAAATGAGAACAAGAAAGCTAAAAATATCAGTAAGCTATTTGCTCTGATAGCGTAAGTACACTCGGTGTAATATTAGAAACAAGAGGCGGCTGGTATCCAAGGGCCGAACTGCAAAAGCCGCCAAGATAGGGACAGTTTCGAGGAGCACGATATCTGTGACAGGCGGGGAATTTGAAACCTGTCCTAGAACCATCTAGTCTTAGCTCCAAGCTCAGAAATAGCAAATGGCTCAGACACAACCTCACATATTTCAATTTTTTATTTCATTTTAAAAAAAAACCTTGATTTTTCCTTTGCCAAGTTTCTCCTAGAAACAAAAGCTATTCACTTATTTTAGTTAGGCCAGTTAAAAAAATAGGGACAACGTATTATCAGCAAACTCCAAGTTCTTCTTGGCACGGCTGACAGACTGACAGGTCAGTCTATCTTTGTTGTGTAACTACTTCCAGCCACTCATCAACACAGCCTCACCCTGGGTCTCAATTTTCTGAAGCTGTTCTCTTTTCTAGTCTTTTATCTTCTTCACCAACCATCTGAACCAGGGATGAATCTAGGGAGGGGGTGGGTGAGTGGCGAGCACTGGGTATCACGTGACCCTCTCCGCGCTGCACCGGGCCTTCAGGAAACCAGAGTCATTGGAGCTGGAGCTCGGTTCCTCCGACTCCACTGCCCCACCTTCCCGGGATCTGCGGAGGAAGGAGGAGCAGAGGTCTGCGCCTCTCCACCTCCGCCCAGGCAGGACAACACCCCGGGTAACAGGGCCCTGTGTGGTCCTCAGCTCCTCCTGGGGCAACTCGGGGTGGGCGCCTGCTCCGCTGCCCGCCCCTGACACTCGGGAGCAACACGTGCCCCACTAAGATCCGAAGGTGCGGGCCTGGGGCTGTCCTCGTACCCCCCACCCTCCCACCCCACAAAGCGTCCGGAACATTCGTGCGTCGTGGAAAACCAACACTCTCTGGCCGGCAGCTCTGGCCCTGCCCAGCCCGCGCGCCGGCTCCTGCGCAATCCGCGCTCCGGGGTGGGGCCGTGGCGGCTGTCACCCTCGCGGTCCGCAGCCCAGGACCAGCAGGCGTTTCTGCTCGAAAGAAACGCGAGCGCAGGGCTGCCTGCCGGATCCCCAGCGCCCCGGAGAACTTTCGAGTTTCGGCTAACGCACCAGCCAACCCGTAAACCACCCACACTTACGAGTGCCCAGCTGCGGAGCCTTTAACACCCGGCCAGCGCGCAAACCACGACTCCCACAATCCTATTGGGGAAACTACAAGTCCCGACACACCGCTCTCGCCCCTGCGCAGTGGACGCAGCTGCCGTACGTCGCTTAGCGCGCAGGCGCAGTGGGTCCCGGAAGTGCACCCCGCGGCGGGTGGGTGGTGCAAGTGTGGAAGGTGAGGCTGAATCCTTAAGCCTAAGGGGCTTTACTTGGTGCGCACGCTCCCGGGGTGTGGTGTAGGCTGGGCACCTTCATCCAGACGCTGGGGAATTTTCGTTCAAACTCGGGGGCATACTCTCATGTTGAACTCACAGGAGGTGAAGGAGGACGGCAGCCAGAAGCGACGTGGCGGAGCCCACAGTCGTCCGTGGTCGCGCGTTCCCAGGCAGCCTCCTCGCTTCTGTGTACGCCTCAGGGCACGCAGATTCCCCCAAAGTGTCCACGTTTAGCGTTGGTCTTCTCTCATGACAAAATGCATGCGTGCATTTTCCTTGGGGTAACCGTAGGGCTCCCCAGTGCTAGCTTCCCAGAGTTCTGCGTACAGTGAATGCTTAATGAAGGCGCGCACAGTGGGGCACAAACTGAGCACCTAAATACTAGGGTAAAGGAAGAAATACAGTTGTCACTGCGCTCTCGGCTCAGCCCTCTGAGGGAGAAGGAAGCAGGCCAGGAAAGCATATTGCAGAGGCAAAATGGTATTTGTACCCAGGAGATCCAACTCCACGTGCCATGGTGGCTGCCTGTCGTGATCAAGTGCGAAATGTTAAGGAGAGAAGGAAAAGCAAACTGAAGCGGGGGCGGGATTTGGTTCATTATAGAGGGAAAGGTAACAAAAATACCTTTGTTCTAAGCACTTTGAGACTTGTCTAATTTAAGTCAATATAACAAGCCTGGAAAGAACATGTAAAAACAACCATTCACAAACGAGGAAATGGAGACAAAGATCGTCCAGCTTTAAGGTAGCAAGTGCTGGAAGGAAGGCTTGAGTCTGGTAACCTGGATCTAGAGTCTTATCAGATCAGCCCCTACCATGGGTTCATTTTTAAATACCTTCGGAGATGTAAGTGGTACGCATGTCCCATGGAGCCAGTGGAACAAGTACGAGGCACTCTAAAAGCAAACAGCACAGAGAAGAAAAACGGGAAGTTGTTTGAATTAGAATTTTCAGACAAGATCGGGCGCATTCAAGACGGTATGGCCGAAGACTGAATTGGAATTTTTAAACCAGTTTGGTGGGAGTTGATACTGGAGGGAGAAATTAGGGCAAATGATTTCGACAACTATATACTGAGCACGCTTGTGGAGAGTCAGCATTTCAGCCCAGCGTGGTGGCCCAGGCCCGTAATCCCGGCTGTCTGGGAAGCTGAGGCAAGAGGATGGGACGTTCAAGCCCAGCATGGGCAACTTACTGACCTAGGGAGACTCTGTCTCAAAATTTAAAATAATGAAAATGTTAAAGGGGATGGGAATGTAGCTCAGTGTGAAGATACTGGGTTCAATCCCGCCTACCAAAATAATGAATGACTCAATGAATGAATGCCTTTCACCCATTCCCCAAAAGTGAAGTTGATCAATCACCATTTCTTTTGTCACCTGTATATTCTTTGCTGATAATAAGCTATACTTAGTTAGAAAAACCTTGATTTTTTTCTCTCTCAGTATGCTTTCCTTTGTCGAAGATATATAAAACTGGATGCTAACGCAGTAAAGATAGACTAAAATCATAAGCTCTGCAATAAAAAAAAAAAAGGATGCATCATGAACTGAGCTCAACTTCTATGAGTGCAGAGGTGACTGCGCAAGGACCAAGGCTCCTGCAGAGTCAGGAGGTGGAAACTGATGAAAAGGAGAGTGCTCCTGTCTCCTGGGTTTGTTCACTGGTGCTATCTGGAGAAGACACAAACGTCTGCATCTGTAGTGTGTGACAGTGATGTAAGTTATAGCAAGACACACACTCAGCAGGGAGAGTTTTAATGTTTGCATTTTGAACAGGACAAGATGTTTCTGGATGGTAGAAAATTACATTTCAAAGCGGGTGGGGGGGACGGGGGAAGGATTTGTGATTGCAAGCTTTCTCGGTTGCTCCCAGAGAGTTCAGGAACCTCTCTGCCTGTCACCAGGTTTTTCTGGAACAGTCAATTCTGGCAGTGTTCATTTTTCTCAGCAGGTACTTTAGGGGGTAAGGTCACCCTAAGGATACAACCTTGACTTGTTAGAACCATGCCAGGGCCTGATCGAGTCTCTTAGTGTCTGGAGGTAGACAGATCATTTATGCCAAGTCTACAGTTTTTATTGGGCAAGACTGTGGTCTAGTTGAGGAGAGGTCTCAGAGAGCCTGACTAGAGTTTAGTCAAGAAGGGTCGTTATCACCTGGTGGAAACCTCAGCTCCCAGGTCTCCAGTGGATGGAGACCTGAAGCCTGGAATTGCTAGCTCTGTTGCTGTGTGTTCTCTGAGATGCACATGTCCTGAGAGCAGCAGCATTTCTGGATTTCCAATCTGAGGAAGGAGGCCTCTTCTTGCAGTTGGCATATGAGTAGCTTCCCCTAACACTAATATTTAATGCTTCTATTAGCATAATTGCAACTTTGTTATAGGAAACATACCTTGTACATATCTCATTTTCTAACATTAACCTTGCATGGTTTGAAAATGGATTGTCCCCACCACAATCCCTAGTCTAATAGTGTTGAAAGGTGGTGGGTCATAAGGGATTTGCCTTCATGAAGGGGTTAATGGCATCTTGTGGGAGATTTGGGAGCAGGTTGTGATAGTGAGGTCACCTCTGGTCTTTCTCCTCTTCTGCACTCACCTGCTTGGCCTTCACTTTCTGCCATGAGCTGAAGAAACACAGGCCCTTAGCAGAAGCCAAGCAGAGGCTGAAACCAGCCTCTTGGACTTCTCAGCCTCCCAAACCATGAGCCACAATAAACCACTTTGTAAATAGTCTCAGCTCTTTAGTTGTAGTAATAGAAAACTGACCGAGGCAATACAAGCACTCCTACAAGTGTGCTTAGAAAAAGAACTTCTTTTGTGAATTTTGTCTTTGTATCCTGAGGCCCAAGGCCAGAGAGGAGGAGGAGATGAGGCATAAAGCTTTGCAGTGCTGAGACCCTCACTCAGACTGTCCTCCTCTCAGTGGCTCTGAAAGGGGAGATATTCACCCAAGTTGTACCTGCCCTCTTGTCGCTGCTTTGGCTCTGTCCCCTTGGTGTTGCCATGACCTATTCACTTTCTGTTCCATACCTGTCTGGCTCTATCCTGGCTGGGCCCCTACAGTGTGGCCTTCTGTAGTCCTCCTCTGTCCTTGTCTCAGGCACTTTTCCATCACTGTGACATAATACCTGACTCTCCTGCCCTAAAGGAAGACAGGATTGCTTTGGCTCAAGGTTTCAGTCCATGGTCAGCAGGCAGCAAGGCAGAAAGGGCATGGTGGAACAAAGCACTCAGATTACAAAATCATTAAGCACATAGAAGGAAAGAGCTGGGAACAAGAATCCACCCGTCTGGGTCATGGCCCCAGTGACCACCTCCAACCAGGCCCCACCACCTAACAGCACATTAGCTACTGGCTGAGTTCATCAGTAGGTGAATCCACAGGTTAAACCACAACACTACTCCTGGGGTCCAGGCCGGGAATCTAAGTAGACAAGTGACCAATTGAAATAGTGAAATCTCTGTGAGCTGCAGTTTCCTCATGTACAAATGAAGGGAATGGGGGGATCTCCAAGGTGTCTCCCAGCTTTGACAGTCTAATAACATGTACCCCACAGTGCACAATGTTTATTTTTTCAATTGACAGATAAAATTGCATGCATTTATTGTATGTAACATGATATTTTAAAGTATATGTACATTGTGGAATGTCTAAATCAAGCTAATTAACACAGGCATTACCATACCTCAAGTACACTGTAGTTGCCATTTTTATGGGGAGAATACTTAACATCTACTCTTCTTTTTTGAGATAGGGTCTTGCTCTGTAGTTTATGGTGACCTTGAACTCACTATATAGCCCAGCCTGGCCTCAAACTTTTGGCAATCCTCCTGCCTCAGCCTCCCAAGTCTTTGGATTACTGGCTTGCATCACCACATCCAGCCTATTCTTAGCAATTTTGAAGAATACAGTGCACTGTTACTAACTATGGTCTTCATACTGTACAATAGATCTCTTGAGTTGATTTCTCCTATCAACTGAAATTTTGCATCTTTTGACCCATATCTCTCTAGTGCCTGCTCCGTACCGTGGTACAAAATAGCAATTACTGTCTAGCTTTTCAACAGACATCAGCAATTTAGACACTTTCTGTAACTTCAGTGGAAAATAAAACAAGTGTCAATAAGGTACAATTGAATGTAAAGAATGAGTCGTTTATAACCCATGTCATAACTTTTTATCATTTTTCTTAAATAATGAGAACTTCTACAGGTTAATTTTCTGCAAAACTTTAAATGTTTGTTAAAATATGTTTCTGTCACACCAGCTATTTCTTAAATATTTGACTTTGCCGGTATGGATTATTTGCCCTTTGCAATGCCTTTTCTATCTTCAAACTTCCAAATAAGTTAAATACCAGGAAATAATAAATGTAACCTTGCCATCCTGTTCATTCGTCACTTCAGACTGCACTCATAAATTAATAAGAAATATTTCTGTCAATCCAGTCAACAAGTAATAAATTTTGATCCTCAGCTTCTGAAAAATACATCTGAGTATTTATAAATTGAATTTGTCACATCCAAGCTAGTGTTTCATGAGAAAGAAGGTCCAGTGATTTGTAAATCTGTCCTTTCTCTTTCCACCACCGCTGCCCAGGCCCTTTGCTTTAAATTTGCTTTTATTTCCACTGCTGACATTGATTTAAATGGCATTTACATTGCATAGAAAATAAAAGAGGTCTTCGGCACAAAATGTCACCCCAATAAGCAAATATAAATCACTACAATTGAAATGTCATCTGTCTCAGCTGGCCAGCCACATAACGTTTGTGAAAATTCTCAAGGGAAGCAAGGAAGAACTTCTCTTCTAAGCAGTGACAGTGTGGATTTGCATGGCCTGCGGGCGTCTCACAGTACCTGGATGTCGGATCTCAGCTCTGTACCTGTGTTCCTTATCACGGAGACATTTTGAACCCTGTCGCACCAGGATTCTCGTGGATGGTGGCCTTTGATTCCTCCAGCTGCAAAACTTGACTCCTGTACTTTTCCTGCCAGTCCTCCACAATGTACTGGTGGTAGGGGTCATGGGAATGTTCTCGTCTCTTGGATTTCACCGTGCTCACCAGGATAGCTACAACGATGAAGGAGAACATTCCGATCATCACCATGAGGTACAGGATGACGTAGTAGAAGTTCTCCGCATCCACTCTGGCTTGGAGAGTTGCTTGCTCCATCGTCTCGTTCCTTCGCCAATTGTCCATATAAGTAACAAAAATCCTTTTGAAGACATTTTCCAGGCTCTGTGTCACATTGGATAAAGTGATCATGTTTTCCTCCTGTTGAAATGCAAATAATAAATAGATGAATGAGATTAAGAGAATAGGTCCTTTCTGCAGCTGGTTCTGTGGGGGAAAGGAAGCAGGGAATGATCAGATTTCTTTTCCTCTGGCTGGTGATTGATTGCATATTTTGTTAGTCTTTAAACTGGTCAGATACATTTTATGCACTTTTTACATGCACGATCATGTTACAGAAAATTTTACTGGAGCACATAAAATATATATTTTTTTGATATACATATATTTATACATAAATATATTCGTATGAAAAAATGGAGAAAAGACTGGTAGTAAATAGAGCAAAGTGTTAATGGTGGGTGGTATACTTACAGGTATATATTTTTTATTCTTTAGGCTTTTCCCATGTTCCAAAGTCTCATCAGTAATCTTGCGTTACTTTTGATCTTGAAAAGATCAGTAACCTCCCCACAGCAAGCGCAATGCTGCATTCAGAACAGTGTTCAACAAAATCAGTGAAACGAAGCATTGACTCATTTATGAATTGTGGGGACTGAGACACAGCATCAAGGCACAAGGCTGCAAGAAGCATTGGCCCTTTCCAATTTGCTCCACCTCCCAGGTCTGGACAGCTGCTTTTTGCCAAGTACCCTACAAAGATGCATATACAACCATATTCTAAAGACATACTTTAGGTAATTGATACAAAGAAACAGCCTGAGCAATCCTCTGTGTTTCTCACATCTATCTCTCCTCTCCATCCCCACCCACTCATCAACATCATCTCTCCCCTGCGTGATGCAAGGCAATAAAATACAGCTCTTCCTAAAACCACCTCCTTGTAGCTCTCTCTGTCCCATAGCAATAACTTCTTTCAAGAGGGAAGTAAGATCATGCTATTCCCTTGCTGTTGAAACGATGCAAAACCTTCTGTTGTTCTTAAAATAAAATCTTTGTTCCATAACAGGATTTACCTGGCCTGGCCTGAACTGACCAGTTTCCCAGATTCCCCCATGCTTGTAACAATTTGATTAGAGCTGACTTTTTCCTCCAACTCATGAAGCTTGCTTATTCCAGGGCATTCGCGCACTGTCTCCCCTCTACCTGGGACCTTTCTGCTGTGATCTTCCACCTGTTACCTTTTGTTCTTCAGGCCCCCTCTAATTTTCACTGCTCCTGAGCATGTGTCATTCATGTCCTTTATAAACTATGACATTTCAGAGCTCCCTATCAGGAAAATAAGCAGAAATAAACTTCTAGCTATTTATCCCACAGAACATGTCTTCCCCAATTCTCCTCATTAAAAATTACTGTAATAAAATATTTTTCTCCACCTGACATTTTAAATTCTATTTTTCAAATGGCCCTAAGGTCCTTCCCTCTCTTCACCAGCAGGTTGGAAGAAACTTAACAAATAGATAAGACTGATACAAGGTACGTGCCAAACACATGTTCCACGCATTGAATGGGGATGTGCTCCCCTAGCCCCTTTCTGGTGGTACTGAGAATTGAGAGAATTCAGAGTCTTTATTCTGAGCTACATTTACAGCATTTTTAATTTTTCTTTTTTCTTTTTCTTTTTTTTTGGAGACAGGGTCTTGCTGAAAATGCCACAAGGCAGGATTATTTCACACATGAACCCTTTGGCTTTTGGGGTTTTTTGTGTGTGTATTTTTTTCCAACCCTTCTCTATGGCTTCATCCAATAAAGAATAATGTGACTCTATTGCCTTGTATATTTTCTCTGCCATTACTCTGAAGAGAATGCAGTTTCCTTTGGGGGAGCCAAATTGGGAAAATGAGTAGAACATAGAATCAACCAAAAAGAGAGCCAGTAGAACTAAGTTTCCAAAACAAAGGCTGGTGGTGGGGTACAGAAAGATCCTTGGGGTGGGCATTGAGGAGGTTCCACGTGTGAAAAGGTCTTGAGAGCAACTGGGGTGCGGGGGAAAAATTGAGTTAGGGAAAAATGGGGCCCCATTTAGGCCAACAATTAAACCCACTTCTTTCAGAGGTGCTGTCAAGAGTAGAATTGCTCCAGGTGCTTTGGTTACTGGATCTCTACTGATGTACCAGGCAGTGAGACCCTGCTTTTGTGTCCGGGTCCCCAGATGGGTAGAGATCTGCAAGCTACTGAGTGACCTGAACTCCTCTGTCCACCCCATCTCCCCAGTTCAAGCTGGGCATCCCTAATCCTAAAATCTGATGTCTGAAATGCTCCAAAATTGGGAACTTGCAAATCACCAACATGAGGCCCACAAGTGGGAAATTTCACACCTGAGTCCTGAAATGGATCACAGTCAGAAATCCAAACGCACTGAAAATACTGTATACCATCCTTTTCAGGCTATGTGTATAAGAAACATGAGTGAATTTCGTGTTTAATCTTGGGGCCCACCCCCAGGATACCTCATTATGTATATGCAAATATTCAAATTTATTTTTAAAAATGGAAATTTGAAACACTTCAGGTTCCAAGCATTTCAGAGATCCTCAGCCTGTGTCTCTGAGGACTGGTTGCGTCAGTTACTTCTTTAAGCAAACGAAGTGAAAGCCCCATTGCTACAAGGGAAGGGCAACAGGAAAGGCCATGTTCACTGTCACCTTTCTGTGAGTGTTTTCATCAAAGTATCTCATCAGCTTTTCACCACATGTGAGAAATCAAGGCAAGTGCTTGACTTCTGCGTGGGAACGGGGCACAGCTGAGGTGTGTCTTCATGTTTAGTAAGCACGTGTGGGGCCGGTGCCCCAAGAGAAGCCTTCAGGTTCCAGAGCTAAAATGGGAATGTGTCATCTAAATAAGCCTGAGGAGGAGATGGAGCTGGAAGGACAGAGAAGAACTGTGAACTAACCTTGGTCTTCTGCATGCTTGTTCCCAGGTTGCCTGCGTAGGAGAAGGAAATGGCCTTGTTTGTGCTGACTCCAGGAGATATAGTATGTTTTCTACTGTAGTTTTAGAAACTCAGGAAAGTCATAATTTTCTCCCAGAACTTAATCTGACCTGCCTGGGTCTAGCAGAAACTCCTTTTCCATGCTTTTTGCATACTACCATTTTTAAAAATATCGGTTACCCATTTCTTGTGTGTTTATTCATGTGATATGCACAGGAAAAAAAAACACTCTTCAAGATCAGAATTGCTACTCCCACTTTACAGAGGAGACTGACGGGATAAAGTAAACTGAATTATAATGACTTGACAACTCGACCTGTTACAGGACCAGAACTTTTTCATTCATCTCTGAATCCCAGAACTCTACCCAACAGATACTTACCAAATAGTTGGTGAATCAGTGAGTAAAAGAATGACTGCTCTTCTCTTTGTGGAATTCAATTCGAAATTACCAGAACAGTGATTTTTAACTCATTTGAGGATGTGTGTTTTATGTGCCAGAGATTCTTGAAAAGTTATGCGAGTTTATTTTTTCCAGAGAAGTGTATGAATGCATCTAGGAAGTTCTACATTGAATTTCGAGATACTCCTGGGCCCCCTGTTACTCTTGCAAAAATCTCTTTAATAACACATCTTTGAGATGAGAGATTTCATAGTGAATTCCTTGAAGTCATAAAGTAGGGCTTTATAAGAGTTGTCACCAAGGAGTATTTATGGTGTGCCAAGGTCTTCTCCATGTGTAGTGTATTAATGCCATGGAGTCATTGTCGCAGCCCAATGTATAGTGCACTATGAACCTAACGTCTGAGGAATCCAGGCACAGAGGGACCAAGAGGTCAGCATACCACAGGAGTGAAGCCAAGATTTGAATTCAGTCCACAGGGGTCAGCCAAAATCACTTGAATTGGTGTGGGTTTGGAGCCATGACAGTACTCACCAGTCTTTGATAATGGAGAAGCCAGTGCAGCCATTTACTTGTCAAATTCTTCTAACAAGGACACAGGCCCACTGCTAAGCAGGTCAGGAGTACTTTGGGTTCAGACTTAATCCCAGGGCTGCGTGGAACCTTTGGGATTAAATGCTTCAGCGCTGCCCTCTGTTCAGGCTACAAAAGTAGGGCCAAGGAGATTCACTTTTTGAATACTGATGTGTGAGATGTGGCTTGGCTGGGCAGTCCACTGTCCATGCCTGGACCACAGGAAAAATCCAGCTCACAGTGTGTGAAAGCAATTTCACTGATAGACATTATGCCAAAACATCTTCAAATGATGCAGGGGTTGACTGAAACTTTGGATTCCCAGGCTAACTACTGAACTGATAGATACTATTTTTAGTACACATACTTATCCTACCACAAGCACCACATAGATGTGTAATGTAGTTACCAAGACAACTATTATTTATGTTCTTTTTAACCATATGAAATTTCTGTTTATGTAGGTTGAAATGGTCAAATATTGGCAATTATTTCATGTGATTCAACTTAATGGGAACTACATTTCCAAAACATGGCTCTTGTTGAGTCCCAGAACAGGGTAGGTCATAGAGATTATTGAGGCAGGCCTACTCTTTGGTCAGCATAGCCCAGAGATCTCAAATCACTGTTCCAAAATCACAGGGCTCTTGCATTGGCCACAGTGCCTGGCCTTGAACCCAAATCACTCAGTCCGGTGCTCGGTCCACATTATGTCCTAGCAAAGGTCACCCATTTCAATAACTCCTTGTTTCCATTGCTTAGGCTGGTCGGCTCGACTGGGTAAAAGGTAAAATACCACGGCCATGGCTGGAGCTTGCAAACATCAATTAGTTATGCCCTGTCTCCAGGTTATAGAATGGTTTCGATTCCAGCTCCCTGTCACAAATGTGTGACTCGGGACAAGGGCAACCCGGGCACTGCAGGGAAATAAATACTCACTCAACGCCTAAGTGCACAGTACTTTTCTTGAAAGAAGATGGATTATGGGCATTAAGCAGAGCCCTCTGCAAAGTATTTTGTTTTTATATCAAGAATAGAAAAAAATATGACTACCTACTTTTACCATGTGTTCCCCATTTAAAACAAAAACTTTCAAAATCTTCACGCACAGCCAATTACTGAAGAAAGAAGAAAAATACAAGGAAGGAAGGAAGGAAGGAGGGAAGGAAGGAAGGAAGGAAGGAAGGAAGGAAGGAAGGAAGGAAGGGAGGGAGGGAAG